AACAGAAGCAGAAAGAGGAGACACCCGAAGACAAGACTGAACTATAACACCATCCTCTTCCTCATTAAAAATATTAAACAAAATACATGTGTGTGTGTGTGTGTGTGTGTGTGTGTGTGTGTGTGTGTGTGTGTGCTGTTGTCAATTAGAGACTGATTTAGAAGACACGAAGAGCATGATTTAGATACTAAGAAATCTAGATGTTTTAATTAGTATTTTCATTTCTGATCCATGTACAAATGCTTTGTGTGTATAAATGAGCTGAGAGCACAGAGCTCAGTGAAGGACAGAACATGAAGAAGCACAGGGAAAGCGAGTTGAACACAGTGAGATCCAGATTTATGTTTGACACACACTGAGTCTGGCTGTGACATATATAGTATGTACGCACCACACAGAGACTGTAAACTCAATGATTGAGAATAAAGAGGCTCTAAATGTCTGGATTGTAGAATGTAATGAGCGGGTTTGGTTAACTGAGCGGAAACGGGAGTTTCAATCTCTGAAAGCAAACACACACAGAGAGACTGAGTTTGAGTTTATTTGTGTGAGCGACTGCAGCGACATTCATAGAATAATGTGGACGAGGCGCAGTGAATCAGTGATGTGTCTTCAGAGCGAGGTCATGATGATGACAGACAGACAGAGCCTTCTGATCACGGCATAATTACTGCATTAAACCACATTTATAATGCGTTATATATAAAGGCTGTTAGTAAAGTGTTCCACACATGAATACTGGACTCATATTGAGCTGCGTGTCTGTTCAGAAATCACTGCAGCACAAACACACTGGTCTTATTTCCAGAGTGTCACAAAGCCAAGAGCAAAGTGGTGCCATTTGTGCCTGGAAGTGCCAATAAAACCGGCTACTGATTACTAAGTTACTGAGAGAGAAAATCCAGTTTCCCAACCTCATAACCTCCACAGTTACGGAGGAGATCAGACCTCAATATTCAGATTATTAATTCAGATTCTTAAACTTTTACCCACAATCCTAAACACATGCTTAGAGCTGTGAAGAATAATAATAACTCATCATAATTTAACCATCTGTTCTTCAAGTGTTTTGGGTGAATACTGTTATATTCAACATGTTATGATGATGATGATGAAGAAGGTCAGTGTAAGATCAAATGTGGTTGCACCACATGATTTTCCCATTGAAAAACATCATGAAATAATGATGAACAGAATCTGTTTGTATATGATTATACAGAATTTTATGATATCAGTCATAAAAGACACATTAAGATAGAATTTGAATTATATTTAATCTATTTAATGTAGTGGTGATGAATGAGAACATGCACACTGATATTAT